TAACTTGGATGTCTCAGTCTCCCTACTGAACAGACATGTTCATCCTCCCAGAGGAACATAGAATCTTTGAGAACTTTAGGGAGTACATCTGTGTGTCTGTGCACCTGTAGAGTGATTGTACGAGAGATAGAGAGGCACAGTGTTTGAAAAATTAATAGGAATGGAGAAATTGAATGAATATTTCGCTAACTGGTTTAGAATTTTAATACTAAAACCCATCCATGCTGTGTGTTCTAGAAAGACTTCCTGCAAGATGACAAAATTGCAGCTGTTACAAACCTCTTCAAGAATGCCCACATAGAAATTAGAACATTCTAAAAGTGATACCATGTACTTTCTGTATTTTTTATCAGAGTAAATGTGATGAAATAAATACCAGACACTTGGTGCTCATGTGATATTAACAAAAGGGCTGATTGATTTGGCACAGGCAATTGTTCTCTGTGCAACAAATTCAAACTGACCTCTAAAAAGCAGCATAATGTTTAGAGGTCAAAAAGGACCTGAACGTGATGGTCTATGAAAGGCCCAAATGCTGATTCTCTAAGTTAGGATTTTTCTCTTTTTTTCTCATTTAGAGCTAAAAAGCAGCCCAGATTTACGGATATATCCTGTTGCGTGTACTATAGCTTGTAGCTTTTTTCAATCTTTAGTGGGAAAAGGCACACCCAAGGTGACAGAAAAAGCTAGCATGGGGACCTGGTGTTTTCATCCCGGGATAGCTCACTGCATCAGGGCAAACCACGGGTCCACATCTTTGTATACTGAGTGATGAAAAGTTGTCACTGCAAATATGGGTAACAGTTTGGAATACCACTTATTTTGGTGATTGGAAATGGTCATCTATTATGCCACTGCCATATTCCTGTACAGATTTTGGTGCTGGCGAGTGGGTGCAGCTATAATCAATACCTAAAATGTGGAAATGGCTTTGAGTAGAGGTGTAAGAATTTGGGGAAGCATAACAGAAAAAGACTAGATTGCCTTGAAAACCCTGCTGGTAGAAATATTGATGTGCTAGCAAGGGTAGGCTGGAGCTAAGTGAGGCCTCTAAGGCACATTTGCATGACATTTATTCAAAATGGTTATCAGTTGTGATTCTGCCACCCCATATCCACAGGATGGCTATAATCAGCTGGTGCAGATGGAGAGATGATCCTATTAGATAGTCATTTTCCCCCAGGTGTTTGCTTGGACAATAGGTGCTTGGGAAATCTGGGACCGTGTAGCTGGGGTCTTTGAAACTCTTCAGTGAACTTGATTGGCTTAGGACTTGGGCAGGGGAGGGGAGGAGGATTGCTACAGATCATTCCCTTCTCAGTCCTTTAAGGATTCCAAGGCAATGAGTATGTTTCTCTCCAGGTACAAACAACTCCTAGATGAAAAAACTGGCATTTGTTTTGCTTTTAGATAATTACAAGAAGATTGAAGAAAGTGGTTGGGTTTTCCCCCCATTGTCCCTCATGCTCAATACAATGCAAGGGTTGGATATGCTCTCACAGATAGTGATGCCAACATGAGAGGGAGTGCCATGCCATAGAGCAGTGGTTCTCCAGGCGTGGTGGGCATCAGATTCAGCAGATTCCCAGGCCTAGCCTAAAACCATGGAAGCAAACTAAACACCACCGGTGATTCAGCTACCCAAAAGGCCGGAGGGACCAGCAGTCTACTGCAGTGTTAGTATGTGCTCTTTGAAACTATGGCTTCACGGCCAATAACTTATACCAGCATTTCTCAAAGTTAAACAGGCTTCCTTAACACAGGCTTTATGAAATTTCATTGTATTAATACACATTTTTTTAATCCCAAAGTAGGAATTAGTGTACGCCAGTGGTTCTCAAAGTGTGGTTTCCAGGTCCAACAGCCTCAGCATCACCTCAGAACTTGTTAGAAACCCAGAGTCTTGTGCCCATCCCAAACCTGTTCAATCAAAACCTCTGTAGGTGGGATTGAGCAATCCAAGTCTTATAAGCCTTCCAGGTGTTTATGATGTGTACAAAAGGTTTGAGAGCCAATAGTCTTTGCAGTGTTTTCCAAAACGATTCTTTCATCAAGTATGTGGCAGGGCTAATATATTCTGCCATAAGGAATGTTACAGAAGTGTGTTTGTGTGTGTGTGTGTGTGTGTGTGTGTGTGTGTGTGTGTGTGTAATGAAGATGTGTGAATGCATCATCACTTGTAGGGAGGTTCTTTTGGTGACTACTTGATTATTAATTTATAAACAGCACCTTCTGTTAAAAACTTGAGGCAGCTCAAGGAGAATATTGGCAGTAAAGGATCCTTCCGGGGTATTTTGACCACCTCTTATTTATGCCAGGCTTCCCTGAGACATCAATAATGTACTGATTTGTTTATTACCAGAAGACCTACGCTCTTCATGAACAATGACAAAGCCAAAGCAGTAACCAAAATAGTCAATAAACCAAACTTAAAGTCCTTGGAGCAAGAGGGAGACAATGCAATCTTTTCTTTACTGATTGGAAATTAGCAAGAGTTAATAGGGGACAGGCTTGAGTGATTCTACTTCTGGCACATGGTACAAAGACATCTGAGTCCACACTTCATGCTGGAAGACTTTAAAGCTCAAGCAGGATGAGGGCTTCAGATGGAATCACAAAGTGACTGAACTTGGCTGGGTTAGGAGCTCCTGCTGAGTGTGGCTGAAACATCTTAGAATTAGGCAGCTTCCCCTCTGTACAAAAGCATGCTGATTGGGGCCCCAGTAATTTTATTCGATGGATTCCCTGAAAATAACCATTCAATTATGTTTTACCTGCTCCTCTACATTTCCTTCATATATCGACTGCTCCCGAAGCATGTATTGCCAGGCAATGGCAACTTTGGAGAGCTAGTGAATAGTCAACATTAAAAATGTTTATATTTTTCTTCAGCTCTCAGAGGTGGAAAGGACCTTTGATATTTATTCCTGTGTTTTCCCTCTACTTACAAAATGAGCAACAGAAAGGGAAAATAGTGGGAATGGCAGAAAGAATACTAGAACATAGGTCTTATTTGTATAATTCCATCACTGAATGGGAATGAGAATTTTTATTCCAATCTGAAGTTCAAGTACAATAACTAGTACAATAAAGACACTTTTAAAGAGTGTTCACGTTAATATGAATCTCTAGATTGTAGATTATCTGAGGGCAGTGACCTTATGTATCATTAAAGATTTAACTCCAGTTTCTATGACAGTTAATGGTAAGTAATAGACATGGAATAAAGATATGGTGAAGAATTTTTCTTTGAATGAATATAAAGAGTTTATTCGGTGCGTATTTGGGTATATAACAACAAATATTAAACAACTTTGTTAAACATTTTTGTGCACAGGACAGAAAACTGCCTGTACATGCTATGTCCACTTTTGGAACACAGATTTTAACAATTATTAATGCACAAAATCTTACATATCATGCAACTCTATGCCAAGATTCCAACTTTCTTCCATGCAACAGATATGAAGATCTAAATGGAAACCTAGCTAAGTCTTAAACACTTTTCCAGAAGCAAGTATAAGTATATGTTGTTTAGGGATAACCAGTCTTAATATTTCCTTGTACACAATATTCACGTGCCAAATACAATGACAAGAGAACTCATACACATAGAGATAAGACATTTCTTATTTTAACAACACAAAAGACAACATCACAGTTCCACAATTCCTGTCTTTACACAAGAAGCCACAGCAATAGTTTAACATGATAACATAAATGGAATTAAGAGAAATCTACACTTGAGGATTTTTTTTGTTGTTTAAATAATCTTTACTGACTGGGGTTAACAATACAATTCAGTTTCTATGCACAAAGTATAGCACAAGAACTTGACCAGAGTACTACAAATCTAAAAAAAAAAAAAAAAAAAAAAAAATTGGAAAAAAAAAAAA